CAGTCACTTAGTCTTGTGAGATATTTTTGAAGTTCTTCACGGTCTGCTTTGGTCTTAATGAAATGGGAGGGAGCGTGGGCTATAATGGCAGAGAGAAAGGAGGATCAGGGCAAAACTGGGCTGCAAGGTCAAATCAGTATCTTGGATGCCTATATACAAATGCAAGAAGTATGGGTAATAAGCAGGAAGAACTAGAAGTGCTAATAAATAAGTACAATTATGACATTGTTGGCATCACAGAAACTTGGTGGGATAATACACATGATTGAAATGTTTGTATGGAAGGGTATAGCTTGCTCAGGAAGGATAGACAGGGGAAAAGGGGAGTAAGTGTTGCCTTATATATTAAAAAGGAACACACTTGGAGTGAGGTGGAGATGGACATAGGAGACGAAAGTGTTGAGAGTCTCTGGGTTAGGCTAAAAGGAATTAAAAACAAGGGTATTGTCATGCTAGGAGTCTACTACAGGCCACCTACCCAGGTGGAAGAAGTGGATAAGGCTTTTTTTTAAACAACTAACAATATCAGCCAAAGCCCAAGATTTGGTGGTGATGGGGGTCTTCAGCTATCCAGATATGTTGGGAAAATAACACAGCGGGGTACAGACTATCCAATAAGTTCTTGGACTGCATTGGAGATAACTTTTTATTTCAGAAGGTTGAAAAAGCTTCCGGGGGGAAGCTGTTCTAGATTTGATCCTAACAAATAGGGAGGAACTGGTTGAGAATTTGAAAGTGGAAGGCAGCTTGGGTGAAAGTGATCATGAAATCATGGAGTTCACAATTCTAAGGAAGGGTAAAAAGGAGAACAGCAAAATAGAGACAATGGATTTTGGGAAGGTGGATTTTGGTAATCTCAGAGAGCTGATAGGAAAGGTTCCATGGGAATCAAGACTGAGGGGAAAAACAACTGAGGAGAGTTGGCAGTTTTTCAAAGGGACATTATTAAGAGCCCAAAAGCAAGCTATTCCGCGGTATTGGAAAGATAGAAAATATGGCAAAAGACCACCTTGGCTCAACCACGAGATCTTGCATGATCTAAAAATAAAAAAGAATTCATATAAAAAATGGAAAGTAGGACAAATTACAAAGGATGAATATAGGCAAACAGCACAGGAATGCAGGGGCAAGATTAGAAAGG